GTCCAGTCAGTGGTCATACCTGACCAACAGTCCCATTCACCCACAACAATCCAGCAACATGTGCAGTCCACTCCATCGACGGGTCAAGCGAATGTGCAAACGTTTCTTGCCGTTAACACGCAAGGGGTCCTCCTGAGTACGGCATTAATAGAAGTTTGCCATTTGGGCATCAAATACTCAGCACGGGCACTCATTGACTCAGGTTCCGAGGCAACCTTTATCTCAGAACGGTTGTTCAACCTGATTAAGTTGCCGTATGAGTCCATCCAGGCTTAAGTTTCGGGGGTCAACCTTTCCATTGCAGCTCAGCCCCGTAAGCGTTGTCAATTCAACATAGGTTCTCCCGTCACGCCCCATATCCAAATTGAAACCTGTGCGTATGTGCTACCACAGTTAGCCGGTAATCTCCCATCCTACACTATACCAGAGGATTCATTAAAGGATCTTCCACCTCTGCAACTAGCAGATCCAGATTTCTACCGGAGCTCGCCGATTGACGTGCTTATTGGTGCCTATATCCTGCCATCAATCATTCTCAGAGGCTCCCATTCCAATATTTGTGGAACACTCCTTGGTCAAGAGACTATATTCGGGTGGACTCTTTGCGGTCCTATTGAAACGAGTCCCATAAGCAGAATCTGTTCCTTTTCAGCCCGATTAGCAGTGACCGAGTCCAAACCAGACAGCATCCTCACAACATTTGGGGAGGTGGAGGATGTTCCAATGAAGTTGGTAAAGGAATCCGCCTCGGTGTGCGAGGATAACTTTATCCAATCCACCAAAAGAAACAAGGATGGGAGGTATGTTGTTTCGCTGCCCTTTAAAGAGCCGGACACCATTAAGCTGAGACACTCCAGACCCATCGCACTGGCTCAGTTCCTTCGAAACGAAATGCGATTGAGTAAAAATCTTCCATTGAAGGAGCAGTGCGACTCAGTCATTCAAAAGTATTTAGATTTAGGTCATATGCACCAAGTCTCTCCAAAGGACTCCAGCAGTTTTCATCACGCGGTCTTCAAACCAGATAGCACCACGACGAAGGTTCGCGTCGTGTTCAACGCTTTCAATCCCTCATCAAACGGGAACAGCCTCAATGATATCCTTCATGCGGGGCCTGTACTACACTCCGATCTGACTATTCAGATTCTAAAATGGGTTTTTTTAAACTATGTGTTTAGGGCGGACATCACCAAGATGTACCGGCAAATTCGGGCAGTCACCTTCGGCGTAAACTGTGCGCCCTTCCTGGCCATCAGAGTGTTACAGCAGTTGGCTCAGGACATCCGAGGCCAATATCCTTTGGCCAGCGACATCATCTCGAACTCTACGTACATCGACGATGTGCTCGCAGGGGCTCACACTCAGCAGTCGGCGATAACTGCCTGCACCGAACGAGAGGTCTTATCTCAGATAGCCAAGCTTTTCGACCCGGGCTGGGATAAACCACTCCCCACCGACCTCGTAACCCAGTGGCAAGAGTTCGTAAAAGGGTATCCAATTCTGAGGGAAATTCATAGTCCGAGATGGGTGCGTTTCCATCCTGCAGCCAAATTGCAGTACCTTGCGGTTTGCGATTCGTCACAGGACGCGTATGGGGCTGCCATTTTCGTCCGAGTCGAAACGACTGACGGCTGTTGTACCCATCGGCTGACATCCAAAGCCAGAGTTGCTCTAGTCAGGTCCATATCCATACCCCGCCTGGAGCGTTTTTTTTTCTACCTTCGACAGCCACAACATGGAGCGTCATCCGACGACCAGCGGCGAAAATGATTCGCCTCCCAGTGGACGGCCCCATTGACCATAGTGACTCCTCAATAGATTAGTCCTTCCAATTGACATTTACTAGTCCTAAGTTGTGTCATCCAACGTCGTCGTTCCGTCCTCGTGTCTTGTTCATCCTCATCCATAACACTTCATTTTCATATTTATCCATCTCTCTGTTTTAACGTAGATCCGTGTATACAATGGCTCCAACGACCCATCGAAATCCTCGTCGCTCATCCGGGAGCAATGTATACAGATGTCGAGTCTGCAGGGGAGTCCACGCTCTGAGGGTTTGCCAACGGTTTCTCCAACTGCCGGCTGTGAAGCGGCACCGCGCGGTACTAATTAACAAGTACTGCGCGAACTGTGTGGCAAGGAGGCTCATCACACGCTGCTGCACATCCACACTGGGCAGCCTCGCTCTTCGCGACCCCGACAAAGGCGCAAACCCACCCTCGGATTCTCGGCCTCAGCGTCAGCCACAGCAGCGCCAGCAGGCGTCTTTATCCGGACCACCCATCTTTAGTGTCGGTTGTGCTTGGGGCGGATGTCTACGCTGACCTGAAGCTGCCGGGTATCCTCCCGGGTCAGGACGGTTTGCCGATGGCACAAAACACGACGCTGGGATGGATCCTCTCCGGACGATGCTCCCTCTCGTAGACCGCAAGTATTCCTCTTGCGCGGGGGGAGAATGTTCATGCTAAACAAGGGGCAATATCGCCAGGGGAGCATCACTGGGGACAAATGTACCTGTCGCCATACTAGTTGTACTTTTTTTTTTTTGGCCCTCTGAAAATAAACCTCCAAGAAGACGGATCGTTTGTCCTCCTACGAATCATCATATCGAACTCTGCTTTCTTTTATTGGGAATCTTTTGGAATCGTATTGCCACGGCCCCCGACAGCTTCATTCCTTTTAGCACATCACATGGGCCAAAACAAAACCAGAAAATACGGAAATTGCATAAACGACGATAAAGACAGTGGAGCAGCGAACAACGGAGAAGACAACGACTTTTTTGCACAGGTATAAATGTATATCAATGTATATAATTATTTAAATGTACCCTCGTTCATTTCAGCTACATCCTACCTACTTGGAGCTCCAAATTAGAGGAAGGGACTGAGACGGGACTTCCGAAATTGTTTATCTCCACAAATATACCACTACACTACAAACCGGCCTTCTGCAGCGCAGCCGCATCAAAGATCTCTCTCTCCTCTTGATTTAAGCTTTAATTTACGTTAAATTTTCTGCAATTGTTTATGTTCACGGATGTCTATAAGTTCATCTTGGTGGATATAATTGTTAATTGTTATTTAGGTGCCTTCGGTTTAATTTCTGCGTGCTTTTACTTTTTTTAACTTTAATGTATCTGTTGTATTTGGTGCTTTTGACTATGGCATTTTAGAATGCCAAATAAGTGTATCAGCATATTTTACATACACATTGCACCGACAAACAAATAAACAATATAAACTAACACAGGGACTTTAGAATAAATAAATAGAATTTACATTTAATAAATAAATAAATAAATAGGGATGAATAAATTAAATAAATAAATAAATATGGCGGAAATAAATAAATAAATAATTTAGCCTAATGTTCAATGAATAAATAAATTAATTAAATTATATTATACGGCCGTGGATTCCTTGGGGCTTCCGTCACCTTTGTCCCGGCTGAGACGGTGGCACCTCGGCCTTTGAGGTCCAGTATTCGGGACCCGTTCGACTTTGGGGTTGGGACCGATTTTTTATTTTTTTTTACTATTTACTCCCGCCCAGAATTTTCGCCTCCAGAAGGCACAGGACCCTGTGAACGTGTCTTGGTTTATTTCAATTCTAGTTCCGTTTGGAACGGACTCACTTTGTTTCCTTCCTGGCTGTTTCCCTTCTTTTTTTTTGTTTCCCGGTGACCGGCCCCTGGTCACCCTCGTGGCTTCCCGGCTCCGTTTATCCTCCTTTCTAAACATTGGTTTTTTCTCGCACTCCCATCCGAAATATATATATATATTTTCTTTCACCTTCCCGTAACTGTTTTTCTGTTTTCCGGGGTTTTTTTTCGGTTTTTCCGGTTTTGCTGTTTTTTGTGGTTTGAAAGGTTTTAGGTTTTATTTCGGCTCCGTTTTTCCTACTGGCCGCCATTAGCGGTCACCTTGCCCTATATAGGCTCGTTTCCCACAATTCCCTTACCTACTTTTTCGCCTCTCTCACCCGGGGTCGAGAACCGCTTCCAAGGCCAGTACTCTTTGGTGCCTTGGTGTGGGTGTAGCTAGCCTCTCTCGCGATCGGCACATACCTCCTACACTTCCCCTTCGGTGTGGATCGCATGAGGCGCTCGAGATGCGATCCACTTCCCCTCTTCCTGGACCTGCCAACCTATCCTCGGTGCGCATCCCAGACGATATTTGTTTCGCCTGAGGCTATCGATTACCGCCCGAATGCAACATGTTTTTATTAAAAACAACACATTACACTGCTGCCACTGATTTGAATTGTAAACAAATATGAAATGAATGCTGAAACATTAAGAAATATATTATAACATATAACACTCTTATTTGTATCATTAACCCAATAGCGAATATGCCCATATTGTTAGGGTACCTAGCGCGAAAAGTAGCAAAATACCAAATATTCTTGCTAGGCCGAAATGAAATGATCGCACACATGCACCCGTGTACGGGAATGCATGAACACCGACATACATGTAAAGGCCTGACGCTAACAGCTGACAGCTAACATGGGACCGGCCGCTAACAGCTAAAATCTAACAGGGGTCTGTCGCTAACAGCAAACAGTTAACATGGGACCGCTCGCTAAGAAATTTTTGTGTCCATTTTCGTTGTATGAAATGACCAGTCTATATGTTGTATGGTTAGTGGTATTGGTAAAATGTTATGAAACTCTGTTTTGTGTGTGTTTTCAGCATTTTATTTATGCTATGTATAAATATGAAGTTTTTTTTTTATATTTTCTTTTTTTTTTAATTATTTAAGCAGAATGGCTCGATTCCTAATGATCCAACTGCAATCTGCAAGGGTGCCGAAGCTAGCTTCCTTTCTTGTTTTCTATTAAATTGACCGGAATGTATCGATTTTTAATGATCTAATTGCAAATTGCAAGGGTATACAAACATCGGCCTGCCTAACTTAGCTTTCTTTCTGGTTTTTATTTTAGTTCACCTTTGTGTAATTAACCTATATATATTTATCGGTGTGGCATGCCAAGCGGGAATAATCAAAAACATTATATATAAGGCTTTGTTTATTATTATTATTATTTGTTAGCAAAATTTCGGTTGGTATTGCCTGGGACAGAAAACATGTCGCAGCAAATGACAACAGTAACAGATCTAAATAATATTGATCAGCTCATCTTACGAATTATCGACACTCGGCGTCTGAAGCAGCTTAATTTGACCGAATCGGACATAAAGCTTTTGTGTAACAAGTCGCGTGAAGTTTTTATGTCACAGCCAATGCTTCTTGAACTGTCGGCGCCAGTAAAGATCTGTGGGGATATTCACGGGCAGTTCACGGATCTTTTGCGTCTTTTCGACTACGGCGGATATCCACCGGCCTCAAATTACCTTTTTCTTGGAGACTACGTAGACCGCGGAAAGCAGTCCATCGAAACCATCTGCCTGTTGCTGGCCTATAAAATTAAGTACCCGGAAAATTTCTTCCTTCTTCGCGGAAACCATGAATCTGCCGGAATTAACCGCATATATGGGTTTTATGATGAATGCAAGCGCAGATACACCATAAAATTATGGCGCACATTTGTCGACTGCTACAGCTGCATGCCTGTATCCGCCATTGTTGATGAGAAAATTTTCTGTTGTCATGGCGGACTAAGCCCGGACTTACTAAATATGAATCAAATTGGTCAGTTGGCCCGTCCATGTGACGTCCCTGATAAGGGACTACTTTGCGACCTCTTGTGGTCAGACCCTGACCCCAAAATAATGGGTTGGAGCGACAACGACCGTGGCGTTAGTGTTACTTTTGGTGCTGACATTGTAGGCAAGTTTGTTCACCGCCATAAGTTTGATTTAATCTGTCGTGCCCACCAGGTCGTGGAGGACGGGTATGAGTTTTTCGCCAAGCGGCAGCTTATTACAATATTTTCGGCTCCCAACTACTGCGGGGAGTTTGACAATGCTGGCGCAATGATGTCCGTAGATGAGACCTTGATGTGCTCTTTCTATGTTCTTAAGCCATCCAAAAAACCTGGCCTACGTAAGGTTCATTCAAAGAGCTAAGTCTGGATACATGCTTCAATCTGCATTTTCAGCAAAAGTGTTATATTTCCAATCATTTTAGAGTGATTTACCTGAAGTGCAAAATTTACCGTTTTTTCTTATTACATTAATGTTTTAATCTATATATTAGAAGCCAATCCCACAAAAAATGTAATATTACATACCTACAACTATTTTTAAAAATACAATATAAATCGTTTAAATGATAAATACTGCGGTGTCATTGAATTTAAGGGAATCAATACTTCTTTCTCCTCTAATGATATTTTAACAGCCAAATCGGTCTAGCAGTTCTAAAAATGACCCTAAGTAGACGTATAAACTTTAGCCGCAAAACTCTAAATGATGCAAGTCAAAGATATATAAGAGCAATTCAAACTGATGAGCAACGCTAAGCGCGAAATAAAGATGAACGGGATCGAAATCAACAACATAGAAATGTTGTGATTAATCCGCACAGAGATGCATACAGTTATAATGTGGCAATTGATTACAGTTCAGAGCAAATTTTTGCTGTTGGGCATATGAATGTTATGTGTCCACATTGGATGGCATTAAAACTAAAAAATGAAACCTCTGGATTGTCTTGCGCTAGCGGCCAAGTCAAATTGACGCCAATGGTACCCGTCGTCTGAACTAAGAAGGGGGACATGATATTCACTAACACTACTACAAGTTTTAATCTTAATATATAAAAATCTCCTGTCACTATGTTTGTTCGCTATAGACTCCTAAACCGCTTAACAGATTTCGTTCAAATTTGCAGGCAATATGCAGTTTGGTTCAACTTGAGAGATAGGATAGCTTAGATCTTTTACATCATGGCAGTTTCGGCAGGACAAGGAGGAATCTTCTTTTTTTATGCACTCCTCCGAAACGGCTTTACCGATTCTCATGAAATTTAGAGCTATTTTGTTGATGAATTTGCACAAAATTAGTAGAGTGGTTCTTCACGTATTACATATTTTTTAAGATATTATTTCAATAAATCGCATTTCGTCAGATTGTCTTTTCTATTATTTTCATTTGTCATTCATAATTATTGTTTTGCGTTTATGGTGGTGAGTCTCCAAATTCTCATTTTCAATACATTAAGAAGGTAAGATAATATTTTTAGTAAAATGCCACCGAAAAGATCGAATCTCAACAACGTAAGCAGCAGACTGGCACGACGCAGACGTTTCGAAAGAGCTCATCAGTTGCCAGAACAAGTCAATACAAGAAATAGAGCTCAAAGAATTAGGACAGCAGAAGGTCGTGCACAAGAATCCCAGGAACAGCGTAGCGAACGTCTGCAGCAGAATATTACGAGAATCAGGGCGGCTCGAGATAGAAACATAGATATAGTACGAGCACAAGAACGACAAAGGCAGCGGAACAGTCGCTCATTAGTTCGTACACCATTCGTTCGTCTTGCTTTTGAATATGCACCAGATATTAACTACTCTGCGCATTCAAAAATTGCTATCGGTGGAAAGGACAAAGTATGTCAATATTGTGAGGCGTTTAAATTTCGGAATGAAACTGCCGGTATGTGCTGCGCATCAGGAAAAGTCGTGCTCTCTACCTGCTCCGCCAGAACGTTTATTAACCCATCTTGCTGGAAATTCAAATGACTCAAAATTATTTTTGCGTAAAATACGCAAATTTAATTCTTGCTTCCAAATGACGTCATTTGGGGCCACTAAAATTTGTGATCTTGCATCCGATGGACGTAATTCTGAAACTACATTCAAAATACAAGGCCAGGTGTACCACAAAATTGGATCATTGATGCCAATGCCTGATGATAATCCGAAATTTCTTCAAATATATTTTATGGGTAATTGTGAAGAGCGCGTAACGACTCGGTGCCAGTATAATTTTATTGAACAAGCAGAGGAAGCGGTTTAGGAGTCTATAGCGAACAAACATAGTGACAGGAGATTTTTATATATAAACATTACTGTTCAAGGTTTAATATTTTATTTACTGACAACTCTGTAATATGCTCATTGTTTTCCTATTGTTTCCTCAAAATAATATACATGACAAAACAGTGTTTGCCGGGTCAACTATAATTAGTTCGGGCCCAGCAAAGCGGGTCGGGTCTGCTAGTTAATAATAGAATAGTAGATTATAAGTTGAAGCAAAAAACTTGTCTAATACCAAAAAAATTAAATACAAAAAAAAAAAAAAAAAAACGCCACCAGAGCCATTACATTCATTGGTTTCCGAAAATGGCCCATTGTAATAATTTTTTGATTCATATCCAGGAATTCAAAATTTTTTCAAATGAAATCATTTGGCGCAACAAAAGTTATTCGTGATAGTTGTTTGCCTACTTTCAAGGTAAATGTAATAGCAAACAATTTCATTTAGTTTAAAAAAAAATATATCATCGAATAGGTTCTATCTTCGCTAATGCCTAATGATGACTATAAATTTTTGCAAATCTATTTTATGGGCAATTCAATTCAGCGTTGTGCACTCAACAATTCAGTGAAAAGATCAATTGTGAAACAACTTCTAACATCTTTTCATCAACACAATGAATTAGTTGCATTATTAACAGCCGCATAAGACCGCATGCCATCAGATAACAACAAAATTGTCATTAGAGCCGATAAGACGCCGGCAGCACAACATGCTGGGCGTTTTAATGCGCCAACAATTGATGCAGTGGTTCCGAAACACATCGATCATATGATGCCTAGAAATATCCTACTCTATTTTGGGAAGATTGCATTGAATAAATTCGGGCGCCCGTAATTCTGGACATACGTCATCGCATCTTGAGCGTACTCATGCATATGGTGCGGGCTTCCAACAGAAGTAGCTGGGAGAATGGTCAAACAACCGGCGTGTCCTTCAGTAGCGATGGCGTCACGCAAGTGGATGTACTCGTCTGAGCGCAACTTCGACTGATTACTTTTTTTATACTTTGACGTACATGTCGACACAGTATTGTTGAAACAAACTGCGGTATCTTAGCATATGATTGTCAACGTCTAGTCGAATCATCATAGATACGCATGTAGAATCAAAAAGAAGTGATGACTTGTAAACAAACCTGTCGTTGGCTTGACCAAAGACAATAGAGCTATAAGATAAGTAACGCCATTCGATTTTTTTGCACACGATTTTTTCGTGCTAGCTTTTGAACTGGCTCCAGGCTCTCTTAAATTTTGTTCAAAAGCCAGCGAAGAGAGCGCTCTAGAGCCAGCCGTTCTCTTCTACGCATTCAGCGACGCCGCCGGGTGTTTGTGTGCAAACGGGCCTCAAGAAGGCCAATTTATTTTTTTATTTTAACATCTCTTTTATTTCATATACTTATTAATCTATAAATCTATTTTTTATAATTTATGAAATGAATTATGTAATTGTAAATACATATAATTATGTATCAACTATTTTTATTATTTACAATACTTATTTAATAATTAAAATATATAATATACATACAGATTTATGTATTCTATATGTACGTACATATTATGTAAATTATCCATTTGTAGTATTCGATATGAAAATAAAATGTAGTTAAATGATTTTCTGGAATTCAAATTTGTTTTGATTTGCGCGCCCATGAATTCGGGGTAAGAAGAGCGCGCCAACTGTTTTCTTTCCCCTTTTGGTTTCTCTTCTTGCGTTCGCTTAAAGCCTACAAGTTCATAGAGTGCAGATTTCTACGATTTTTTATTATTTAAACGTTTTTCCATCGCCCAAAATTATTGCCGCTGCAACAGTGACATAAGTGGCAATAGAAGCCTGAATAAATTGTTGTAAATAGTGAAAAAAAAAAAAAATTACAAATTATTTTTGTGTGCGTTGTTTTGGAATTTTGCGCGCCAATTTTACGTGCTGCTGCTGCTGACTATTGCCACAGGTTTGAGGCTAACACTTCATCCCCTTTTTTATGCCAAGATCATTTCTGTCATCTGGGCGACATTGGGATAAAATATCTGAGGCGAGGAACAATCCCGGATCGTAACCTAGTCAAAGAGAACAGTTGCGATGTTGAAATTGATTTCAATGCTGTAAGCTCGCCTCCACGAAAAATACACCGCTCACCTGCTGAAATTTGTCGCCAGTGCCATAAAAGCACAAAAACACTAAAATGTTTCCAAAAAAAATACGTAGCTTTTAAAAAATTAGCTGATGATAGGCAAAACAGAATAAAAATGCTGCAAAAAGAAAATTCGAATTTAAAACGAAAGGTGATTAGGTTGGAAGTAAAATAAAAAAAAAAACATACTTTCTGAAATTGACAAAATGAATCTAACTGGAAACGAAAAAATATTGGCAAAAATGCTTCTTAAAGAAAAAAAGGGAACAAATATGAGATGGAATGATTCCGAAAAGTTGTTCGCTCAGAGCATTTATTACAGGTCGACTTCAACATATATGTTTTTAAGGGACTCTTTGGAATTAAATCTTCCTAGTCCCTCATCTTTACAAAAGTGGAACAGCATAAAAAAATTACAGCCGGGAGACAACGAATGCTTGTACTCAGCCCTTAAAGATACTATTAAGGAAATGACTGAATCTGAAAAAGAATGCATAAAAGCTTGTGATGAAGTTGCAATAAAAAAAAATTTAACATATAATTTCTCTGTTGACGTTATTGATGGCTTAGAGCATTTAATTGAACGCTCTAATAAAATTGGAAGCCACATTTGCGTTTTTGTTATACGGGGTATTTAAAAAAAATTGAAATTTATATTAAATTATTTTGTGCCTGAAACAAATATAAAAGGAGAATGCTTGAAAAGCCTTATTTATAAAAATAGTGACATTGCTGAAAATATTGGATTCAAAGTAAGAGGCGTTATGATCAAGGAGGTAATAATAGAAAATGTACCTCATTACTTGATGTCACTAATGATAAGCCTTACTTTATCTTCATTTTATATGACATTCCGCATCTTTTTAAATCTTTAAGAAATAATTTACTAAAAGCCAATTTTGAAACCCCTGACGGACTTGTTAATTTTGATGTTATACGAGAGTTATACGAACTAGAACAGGGATCAGTAACGAGATTGACTAAGTTAACAAGAAGTCACGTTAATCCAACTAGATTTGAGCTAATGCGGGTATGTTTGGCAACCCAGACATTTAGTCACACTGTTGCAGCGGCAATTAAGGCTTGCAACAAAAATAAGCAACTCCATC